TGACCTGCAACCTATTAGCGATGGCCTCCAACCTCCTAGCGATGACCGCCAACCTAAGAGCGATGGCCTCCAACCTCCTAGCGATGACCGCCAACCTAAGAGCGTTGACCTCCAACCTACTAGCGATGACCTCAACTCGCCTCCTTCTCAGTGCTGCAGACCTGGAATCGATACCAAAAAGTTAACCCACGTTCACCGAAGAGCCTCCAACCTGAGAGCAATGGCCTCCAACCTAGTAGCCGAACTCGCTCACAAAAAGTTCATGACTTGCTCCGAGTTTTGTTCAAAGCACTGGAGAGTTATGGGGCTTTCCGCTTTCCTGATGGCTCACCTTGATTGAAGTCTTGTGATTCGTCGCTTGTTAATGAGAATTGCCCTTGCTTGCACCTTATGCATTGTGCAACTACCAAGTTAAACTTTCAGGGCACTCGGCATGAATCTGCACTGTCAAGAGATCTCAACGCATTCTGCAGAATCTCAACACTTTGCGTGCCATCGCTATTAGGTTGGAGGCCATCGTTATTAGGTTGCAGGCCATCGCTATTTGGTTGGAGGTCATCGCTCTTCGGTTGGCGGCCATTGCTATTAGGTTGGAGGCCATTGCACCGCTTAAAGGAGTCCGCCTTTCCACTCCACTGACCATTGTCAAAGGTCACAGAAGCCTGGCTGTCAGGAACTGCAAGAGGACCATATTCTATAGCAGGGCCACTTGATTCTCGCGATGTTCGAGGTTTTTGTCCCATCTGTGGTCAAGCACCTCCACAAGAACTACCGACGCTGAAATCCCGCAGCTCTGCCTGGATGCCATTCCTGCTAGGCGCCGGGTAGTAAAGATCTCGCCCTGATTGGCACTGCGGAATGGAACGCACTGCACTCAGAACGCCACGCCTTCCGGCTTGTGACAAACGCACATATTTTGTCCAATAGCCATCAGCAAAGGCTCTGAAATCTTGATGATTTTTTGTAGCGATCTGTGTTCTTTTTCTGTCCTTTCCTTTCCTTTCCACGAAATAGCAACCCCTCCACCAGGGCCTTCTGCAAAAACCGGCCACGAATCTTCATGACCATGGCCTGAGCTACTGAAAAAGCAAGGAGTTACAGCAAGAATATTCCGCGCAGCTTGGTTCTTTTGGGATACCAATGGAGGTTTGCCTCTCTCACAAGTTCTGCCAGTGACTTCTGGACATGTCTGAATGATAAGTTACGACATCTGGTGCCACTGCAATTTAATTTCCACGAACCCTCACAGCCTATCAGAAAACAGAATTACCACCACGTTGTAATCTCGTTGTGGACAGTCTGTTTTCAGAATTCTGGCAGGTCTAAGGTGCATTAAGGCGTGTCTTTGGATCCAGTACGCTCTCCTCACTGGCCTGAGGCGGAGCTCCTGCCTGCACAAACCAGATCAAACCTTTCAACGAAAGGAACCAGTAACATTCAACAACCAACCTACTAGCTATGGCCTCCAACCTACTAGCCATGGCCTCCAGAATAAAGGAAATGGCTTGAAACAGCGCTAACTGGTGTCTACTCCTGGACTCTCAGAAGAGAATTCGCATGCTTTGTTCCCTCTCCACCCCCCGACCTCGTTCGGTGCTTCATGGAAGTTGTCTTCGCATCTCCGGTACAGCGGCCATCTGGGAAGAACTTGCAGAGTTCCGAAGAGGGGATAGGCAAAGGGCAAGCAAGAATCCTTTCTCATAAGACCATCCTACACTGATTGCACTTGGAAACAGAATATGCAGCGGTCCAGAAACAAACAAGCCGCAAAATGCACGGCCATCTGCTTGGAGCTCCACCGCACTCTGCCACTCGCCTGCCATCGACTCCTCACCTGATGTTTTGACCGCAACATCTCCTGCTCTCGAAACGCGGCCGCCACAACCAAAACATCCGTGAAACGGATGTAATAGCATGAAAAAAAGAAAAAAGACGTGAAAGAATATGTAAACTCCGTCTTTCTGCTCTGCTAGGAGGTTCCTGATCACATACGGTGCATTTGTGCCGTTGCGCTTTGCCATCAATTTTTATGTGAACCAGCACCCGATGGTCCTTCACTTCCGGAAGCAAGACCATCTCTGTCAATGAAGTGAAGGCTTTCAACGCCTGCTCTGCAGCTGACCTCGACTCTGAGTAAACTCTGCTTTGGGTTCTCTTCAAGGAGATTGCCTCCGTTGCCTATTGTATTTGCTGATGTTCTGAAAAGCTGTAGCTCGAGATGGGGGACGCAACGCCTGGCAATTCCTCTCTGCAAAGCCATGATGCAAGAGTAGTGAAAAATCACAAAAAAAAGAGAAAACGTGGTAGACCCTGGTAGGCTGTAAACAATCCAAGTCACATCAACCGAAAACTGCTTCCAATCGCTTCAAGGCCCGGACCATTCTGCCTCTTTCTGGTTGCTGCTGACACGGCCAGGGAAGGCATTGCCCTGGCGAGTCGCCGGAGTCCGAAGCAACGAAGCCTTCGAAGCCAAGAAATAGTCAAAAACTACACCAGCATAGACCCCAGATAGCGACTCACTCTAAAAACAGAAGCGCATAAGACCCAAAATCAGATAATTCATAGCACATACCTCACAATAAGATCCCTGAGAGCTTCCAGTGACCGTGAGTGGGCAAGTGGGATGACATGTAAGGAGACAAATGGGGAGGACAGGCAGAATGTGGGAGACAAAAGTAAGGAGACAAGGCAGCAGCGGCAAGTGGGAGAGAAGCAGGGAGACAACCTTTTTTCACCTTTCATTCGTCTCATGTAAGGGAGATAACGAAGCAGCGGCAAGTGAAGAGACAAATGGGGAGACAAGTGGGGAGACAAACGGGGCAAGCTGGGAGACCAGGCAGCAGGGGCAGCGGTGGACCAAAATGCCGGTCAACCACCCAGTCCTTGAGAAGTCAGAACCTTTACAACTTTCAACCTTCAGCTATCTGGGAAAAAACACCTCAAACATTGTTTATATAACATGTTCAAGAATTGCTATTAGGTTGATGGCCATTGCTATTACTGTATATAGGTTGGAGGCCATCGCTACTAGAAACAAACGCCTGAAAACATTGGTTAACATGTTTTGCAGAAATGCCGGAAGCCTTCATGCAGTGCAGGATCACGACAGCTTGGAACCTCAGAGAAACAGCCAAAGTGCCGACACCGTAAAGTCACCAACGAAGATTGGTGACGACAAACAATATGTCCAGCTGTGAATATCAAGTGTTCACCAGAAAGGCTTTAGAAAGGTGTTCCACTTCTGGAGAAAGCACTCCTGGCATCGCTACTAGGAGCAAGGACGCTACTAGGGGCTCTTGGACTTTGTGTTGTTGCAAGGCCGATGTTTGGAGCACATGTGATTGGGTACATGCTTGCACAGTTTGGTTCATCTGAAGCGTGCTCATATCACATATATCATGGCTGCGCTTTTGCACGCAATTGAAGGCTTATTCTCCAGGTTCCTCTGTCTGCACTAAATATGGGTAACTTGATCTGTTGCAGCTGTGGTGCTGCTCGCTCAACCTCGGATCAATCACGTGGAGGAATTTCATAGCTCAGAGCAACAGGCAGCTGTGAAACTGCCATGCTCAGTGAGTTGGCACGAAAGTGATGAGCATGGGTCCGGATCTGACGGCAGTCAATTCCTACCTTGTAAACGGGTCTTGGATAAATGTGGGCTGAGACACGAGAAAATGAATCTCGAACAAAGTAAAAGCATTGGAAACCAAAAAATGTGTGAGCAACTTGCAGTTCAGAGACTCATATGTGAAGTACTCCACATCGCCTTTATCGCAAATAAAAGAACTGTGCTGTGACAGCTGCAAGACAACACGCTGCATGACAGCATCTATGTGGCTCCTGGACGAGGAGCAAGGACGCTACTAGGGGCTCCTGGCCTTACTACTAGGAGCAAGAAGCTACTAGTAGCTCCTGGCATCGCTACTAGGAGCAAGGACGCCACTAGGATGTGGCTCCTGGACTACATGTTTAAACGCCAAGACTCCATGAACGATGGGTCTTTGGCAGTATCGATGGCAGAAATGGGTCCTTGGCCAGCTAGACAAGATCAACAGCTGCAAACCGATGAGTTGGAAAAAGTAGACCAGAATGCTGTACAGTTCTACCCGCTACTCAGCTGCGTTACACTTTCTTTGTTTCTACTCTACGCTCAGCTCTGCCGGGCCCAAGGGCCCAAGGGCCCAATTATCACACCGAGACTCAAGTGGCTCTTGGGATCACGGAAGTCCGATTGGAGAGACACAAATGCCATCGCCTGGGTCGCCTGGGTCGCCTCAACCATTCGCAGTGAACAGCTACCAGGCTGAGGAATAGCCCGAGATCAGCAAATTCTGGCAAGATCCAAGCACCAAATCTGTGTCCCCGCCTTGTTCACTGAGCGAGAAATGGAGGTGTCCCACCACAGCTCTTGCTTGAGCACGTTCACAAATAATCCATGTGAGTGGTTAACAAGCACGTGTTCACAAAGATGAAAAGCAGGTGACGGTGTGTCATTCAAACAGGAAGAGCTTGAAGCTGCAAATGTGCAACAATTTTGCTCGGCTTGCGCTTTTCTGAATCGAGCTTTCTTGCCCGTGATCAGCGAAAACGAAAACATAAGGTGATACGCTCACAATTTCCTTTGGAAACTGGACATAAATGCATAATTGTAATTAAGAACGTCTCGGTCCATGCGTTTCATTCAACCAAACCACGAGGAAGCCCTGTTCATCAAGTTGCCAACCTGATTGGCAAGCTCCTGAGCCTGATCACCAACCTGACTTGTCACGTTTTGAACTTCGTCAGAATTCATCAATGTCCTGACCTGATCGGCCGCATCTTCAGCTACATCACGGATTCCCTCAGCGTCGATGATCTCTCCAACGGTAGAGGCCACTGCCATGATTTTTCCAGCAATTTCGGGATTTCCACTCAAAAGCTCCTTGCCCAGGTGGAAGTACTCATTGAGGACGGTGTGGGTTTGATCATAGATAAACTCTCGAATTTCGTCCACCGCGCCTCCTGCTCCTCCCACCTCCGACGCAAAGATCCCACGGTCGCACTCGAGCTGCTTCCACCGCAATTGCCCATGAGGAGCAAATGCATAGAGGGCAAAGCGCTTGTGTTGGGTGGATTTGCAAGCGATGTACATGGTGAAAGGCCCCCTTGAAGGTTTCAAGTATTTCCATCCACATCGGTCGTCGTCCGTAAGTTTGTGCTTGACAAGCCTTTTGCCGGATGCGTCATAGATGTGCAAGTATGCCGTCGGATAGTCGGTATCTTTGTAGTGCATGCCATCCCTGCGCTTGTACCACTCCCTCATCTTCTTCTGGTTCTGGCGAAACACGCCGACAATGATGCGAGCATCTGGGGAGACATTGGATACCGTAAGCTCGTACTTGAAGGTATCTTCACATCTCAGATCCACATCCTTCTTTCGGAAGTATCCCTTATTCCCTGTTTCCTTGTGAACTCCCACGAGCCATGTCTCTCCCGTAACTTTTGTGACCTCAATGACATCTCCGCGCTTGAAACTGATCTCATCATCCTCACAGGCACGGTAGCTATTCTTGGCCATTGCCGTGTAGGGTGGCGCTTTGCCAAAATGTCCATACTGAGCACAGCACTGCCAAGTTGGCCCAAAAGTCCGGTTGAAGCGGATCCTTTTCAGGACTTGAACGCAAAAAATAAGAAGGTAAAAAAAATGTGTGTATAAATACGCACACAAAATTTCCGCAATCAGGGAGCCATCCATTGAGAAGTAAGAACCCCTATAGCTTCGCTATCTGGGAAAAAAATATAAACGCAAATTGTACTTTCTCGCTCCTTTTCAGGACGTGAACGCAATCCTCATCTTCCATCCAAAAGGCGCCGTCGTTCGATTTCTGGTGACCCAACTTCTCTCTCCGCTCATCGGTCCACTTACTTGAGTCATCAGACCAGGGCCCTGTCCATTCCTTGGTGGTTGATGTCAATCAAAAAATCCGACTTGTCATTGCTATTAGGTTGGAGGCCATCGGCAATTGTAAACACAACTTGCCCTGCACGACTTGACTCACAGCTGAGGTGCCCCATTAGAAGCCGCTTCGAGAACGTGCATTCCAATGGGTCGGCCAGGGGTGCCATATGGGTGGGTGACCATGCAGGGGCATTCCTTCTGGTTTTGTTTGTCTTTTCCTCTGGTCTTGTTCGCATATGTTCGTTTGTCCTTGCACATGTCCTCTGGTTGGCACAAAGTCAAGATCAAATTCGGTTGGAACATTGCCCAGAAGCACAGGCATAAACCCCAGATAAATAGCACTTTGGAAAGTAGATAAGCTTACGCGTACTTATGAGGTTGCTCGGTCTCTTACAACCTCCAGCCGGATCTCAAATGCAAATCAAGTAGGGCTGGACTAGACAGTGAAAAAAAAAAGAGAGTTTTGATTGGGGTCTGGCTGCAGTCACAGAGCTCTAAGGTTCCAGGTTTCTCGATCAGGGCCTGGCTTTAATCACTAGTTTAGGTGGCTCTTCGACTGATTCACAACTTCTACCTGAGTTTACTAGTCACATCCCATGCCCACGCGTCCTCCAATCCAGGGTTGATTTGACGGTACATTTAGAGGATGTAGCAGCGCACCAAGAAATCCCAAAGAAACGAAAGTTGCGCAAATTGCCTTCGTTTGTGTAAATGATTTTGTACCCCTAATCGTGGCTCTGTCCACTTTAGGAGAAACACCACCCCTTGCCTGTTTTGTCTGCTCAAAATATGCGTCACCAGCAACTCTATTTTGGTGTAGTGAAGGATTGGCACGATGTTGCAATGGTTCATGAGATGATTGTTGATTCTGGAAGCCTTTCTGAAACCCTTCAGCAATCTTAATTGTATAAAGCAGAGTCAAGTCCTTGCAAACCTAGGACGTAGTGAGCCTTTGCACTTTCAGGCACTGTCCACTGGACACTAACGATTGAACACATTCTTCTCCTCCAAGCCCAACAGCCTTGAATAAGCTCTTAAACACATGTTACACGTGTTTCCCGTTTCACACGTTGTTTACTTCAACTACGTTCTGCAATTTCGGAAAAACATGCTGAACCATCAACCCCCAGGCAAACGCCAAAATGCACAAGCGAACAAACACACCTCAAAAAAGGCTTCAACACGATTGTTTGCAACAAAAAGCTCTTGAATGAAATCTCTTTGTTTTAATTAAAGCTTCTCTTTTTGCCCAGGGATTTCGAAAGCAAATCAACTTGTGACCGTCTACTTCGCCTGATCGCAGCACCGAGTAGGCGTGACCTTCTACGAGGCCCATTCCAGCACCATGCTCACCACACTGGCCATCTGGTCCGCTCTCTCCATGTGCGTACTTCCCCTTGCTGGGCTTATGGAACCCGCTCGACATAATCTCACCATTCTCAAGTCCTCTGGTCTTCCAAAATGCAAACAATATGCAAACAAACAACAAAACGAAACGCTTTTTCTAAAATCATGTATTTTTCTTTGTGATGTCCTGTGTTGATTTTCTTCCAATACCTGCTTGGATGGCTAAAATCTGTATCTGTGATTGGATAGACTCCCCACACACCGCCAAGGAAGGAGAAAACGGTCTCTGCACTTGTTCCTCCATCACACATCTCGAGGCACGTCATGTGTTTGAAATAGGCCTTTTCAATCATTGATACCCAAAGCTCATCTCTGCAGTTAGGAGACCTCGCATATGCCAGGGTGCCGCTCTCTTTTACTCCAAACAGAGTATCCAAAATCTCATAGGTGAAATGCATCTCCTCGCAGAACATCACACCATAAACACCGACCTCCATGTCATATGCGACCAAAGCCTGCCGCAAGAAAGACTTCCGGCAGGCTGCCATCGCTGCGAAGGCTGCGACGGCAAAACAGTCCCCGATGGAGCCCTGCTTGACATCTGACCACTGAGCACCATCCTGCACGACAACAGAACCTTCTTTTGTCCAATGGTATAGATCTGCTGGTCTTTTCCAGCCATGTGGCTTGTCTACCGTGCAATCATAGCCGGGTTTTTTCTTGTCCACATACAACACCTTTGATTCATTTTCCAACGGGTTGAAGGAGTCATCGATGAATTGCGTGCCTTCACTCTTGCATCGGTCGATGATCTCTTGAATCTCACGCTGGCAATTCTCACGGGCCCTCTGCCATGATGCCACAGCGCTCAAGGTCTCTGAAGACTCAAAGCCCTTTGCCACGGCCTTTCAATTTGGCCCGCTCGCTCTCCCCCCTTTCTCTCTACTTAATGAAGTAGGCGCCTACTTAATTACGGTAAGGGAGGTAAGGTAGCTAGTAGTTTAAGTAGCTACTACCTAAGACGCAGGATAGCTCGCGCTAATGATTTGGTTCCTAGATTTTTGGGGAAACTTAGCGATATCGACACAACACCGCTCTTAGGTTGGAGGCCATCACTAGTAACTAGTAGGTTGGAGGCCATCACTGTCAGGTTGGAGGCCATCGCTACTAGGGTGGAGGCCATCGCTACTTGGGTGGAGGCCATCGCTATTAGGTTCCTTTTGCGTTTTGGAACCAGACTAATGGGATATCGACACAACATTCCTTGAATGGTGTCTTGATGCAACGTGTTTGATGAGAGCCCATGACTGTCAGCTCATCATGCTGACCAGCCCTGATCCTTCTGAAAATAGTACTCATGCTTTCCAAGTTCCCAACATAAAGAAACAAGATGGAACCCACGAACCCGAATGCAAACACGTTCCATATCCCCAAATGACACTCTTGTAGGACACTCTTGTGGGACACTCTTAAAGGACACTCTCGTGGGCCACTCTTGTAGGAAACTCTTGTGGAACACCCTTACAGGACACTCTTGTGGGACACTCTTACGGGACACTCTTGTTTCTTGCCGGACACTCTTGTGGGACACTCTTGCGGGACACTCTTGTAGGACACTCTTGCGGGACACTCTTGCGGGACACACTTGTGGGACACTCCTGTGGGACACTCTTGTAGGAAACTCTTGTGGGACACTCTTGTAGGACACTCTTGTGGGACACTCTTGTGGGACACTCTTGTAGGACACTCTTGTGGGACACTCTTGTAGGACACTCTTGTGGGACACTCTTGTGGGCCACTCTTATGCGACACTGTTGTAGGAAACTCTTGTGGGACTCTCTTGTAGGACACTCTTGTGGGACACTTTTGTAGGACACTCTTGTGGGACTCTCTTGTGGGACACTCTTGTGGGACACTCTTGTAGGACACTCTTGTGGGATACTCCTGTAGGGCACTCTTGCGGGACTTGGCAGGGCTGCGTGATGTGTGTGCTCCGATGGGTGTTTCCGCTGGACTTTTGGAGGAAGTCTCGTACGAAATCCTCGTTTCGCAGACTTTGACATGTGAGTTTTGGAGGAAGTCTCGTACGAAACGCTCGTTTTGGAGACTTGACGCGTGACTTTTGGAGGAAGTCTCGTACGAAACGCTCGCCTTGCAGCCTCGAAGCGTGTGTCCTACAGGACTGTCCCAGATAGAGTGTCCCACAAGAGTGTCCCGTATGAGTGTCCCACAAGAGTGTCCCGCAACCGTCTCCTATAGGAGTGTCTCACAAGAGTGGCCCTTAAGAGTGTCCCACAACAGTGTCATAAGAGCGCCCCACAAAAGATCACAAGAGTGTCCTACAAGAGTGTCCCACAAGAGTGCCCTACAAGAGTGTCCCACAAGAGTGTCTCACAAGAGTTCACGACCTCACGATTCCCTGGGCCTGCCACGAATCTTTCCGCGTCCACGCGTCTAACGCGCACAAAGTACTGCGCCTGCCACGACAGGTCACCTCCGTCACACCTCGCAACCTCACGATTTCCTGCGCCTACCACAAGAATCGCACTTCCACACATCAAAAGCCGCACAAAGTACTGCGCCTGCCACGAAAAGTGACAATATCATCTCATGTGAGCTTCAACAAAATTTGCACCACACCACACGTTTGGAATGATTTCGACCCGTTCTGAGCACACTCCCATCCACCAACTTGAGAGAGGAGGGGGGTGAACGAAAGGTAGCAGGGAATCAGGCGTAATCCGGGAGGAGGTGAGAGGCCCCCCACTTGTTAGAAGAGAAGTGACTGAGCGTGATGAAAGAAAAACTAATGCACGGTTTCAATACAGGTTGACGTGCCTTCAAAAGGAGTCACATATTTCTCAAACGCAACTTTGGATTTACATAGTAACGTGCGGCGACCCTGTAAATTGCGTGGCCGCAGGCCATGCTTGCAAACAGGACGCGCTCAAAAACACTGGTATTTACGAGGTTTCGTTGCAGAGGCGCACCACGGTTGAGTGCTGGAAAAGCGCAGAAAACCGTGTAAATACCGGCGTTTTCTGCCGGGAAGGTGCACAAAACCCTGTAAATACCATAGTTTTGTGCAATTTTGAAGCCTCCAAAAGCCTCAAAAACCCTTTCCGACAAAATCTTTCCTGGTTTTTGGTCTTTTTTCGGTCATTTTTCTAACCGAGACGCATCAAAAACCATCGGTTTTTGCGGTGTTTTTTGCCGGACAGCCACAAAAAACACTGTAAATTCCATGATTTTTTGTCACTGCTGAGGACTGGAAGAGCTGAAAACACTGGTATTTACAGTGTTTTCGAACCGTTGACCCCGAGGCGCGCTAGGGTGGAATTGAAGGGGGGGGGCCCCCCGTATGTTCAACACTTAGGGGCCATGCAGCAGGCGCATTTATATAAGTAATATAAGCGAAGAAAACAACGTAGCCGCTAAATGGTCGCAATGACGACGCTAAATGGTCGCAATGACGCCGCTGAATGGACACAGCGTCATTGGGGACTCAAGAAGACAGTATCAGGCCGATCCAGCCGATCCACAAGGAGGCCGCCTGACTTATAAGTCGAGTTATAAGTTTCGCAAGTCTTAACATGTCCAAGTTATAAGTTAGATAACTTCGAAATAAGTAGGCTAAGTCACACGAAAAAAATTAGAAGTTAGCGGACTTATAAGTAGCACTTGTGCTAGTTACAACATGTTGCTGTCCTAGTTATAAGTTAGTTATAAGTAGCACGAGATTTTCGTGTTCAGAACTTAGGGGAGTTGTCCTAGTTACTGCGCGTTGCTTTTTGGAGGATGTTTTTGGGACGATGTCACCCAAAACTTATTTTTCGAACACTTTCAGGACTCCATAGCTGACTATACGTTTCGAGCATGTTTGTCTGTCATATATATGGCTCAAGCCCCTCTTTCGTGATCAGTTGTTGGAACATTTAGAGGGCCCGTGGAACATGTCGGGCGGCAGGAAGCCCATGCAAGACTATAGCGCGCTGTATGAGTACATGACGGCGGACGACTGGGAGCATCTGAGGCAGGACGGAGCTCCATTTCTCCGGAACTGTGAGCGCGTCTTCGAGCGCGCTTACCAGTTGGGGCTGCGCAGGCCCACGGAACCGACCCTTGCTACCATGGCCGTCATAGCGCAGGGCGGCGGGGCCACGTCTGGATTTGAGGCGAACCAGATTTACCTCTCCGCGAAGGCGCGTTGGCGGCAGTGGTTCCGGAGGCGGGAGCAGACTCGCATCGAATGGGAAGACTATCCTGTGCGCCTGGGGTCAGAGGAGTGCGACAGAGACCCGTGCGTCACCGCAGTGCTGACTGCTCAGCCGCGCGTCGCTTGTCCCCTGGATACGCGGTCCATGCTGAGCCAAGTGGCCATGGTGCCTCTACGGAGCACCCACGCAACCCTCGCGCCCGCGAGGACGGTCGTTTCGCCAGCACCGCCTGCGCCCTATACCCAGCTCATGGGCATGGCGATGCAGGCGATGGCGCATTTACAGGGCCAGGGCGCGCAAGGACAGGGCCAGCAGCGCGCCCAAGACGCAAACGAGATACCTATAGTGCGCAACCGAAGGCCAAGCAGCGCGAGCGCGGGGGCGGGACCGGGGCACAGGACCGACAGCTCAGAGCAGCCGGCACTGCCAGGCTCTGCAGCGGGCCAAGGCTCACAGCAGCTTGCGCTGCCGGCCGCTGAGGGGCAAGACCCACAGCAGCTGGCGCTGCCTGCCCCGCAAGCTGAGGCCGCAGCCGTGGAGGAAGACATGCAGAGGAAATTCCCGACCGCGCAGGAGACGGGGGCTCCGCAACAGGAAGGGGGACCGAAGGGTTCCGCTGCGCAACAAATGCGGGAGGCCTTGGCGGAGCATCTCCGCAACCGAGAGGGCAAAGACAAAGCCCCACATCCACAGAAGCGTCCGTCCGCCAAAGCGGCGACGCGCAAGAAACCTGCGGCGAGCGGCCAAGAGACGTGCAAGAAACCGGCCGCGAGCGGAGTTGGTCTTCAGGCGCAGCAGGCAAAGCGGGGATACACCACCATGTGGTATGGGAGCGCGCACAAATGTGCCATCAGACAAAAAGGGGGCCGTCAGCTGTGCCAGTTTGGGCAGAAGCGCTACACCCGGCAGAAGCTGGAAGCGCATGCCTGGCGTGTGATTGGGCAGATAGAAGCGGGGGAGATCCGCGAAGCGGACGTGAAGGAGGCTTGCGAGGCCTTGCGTCCCTAATAGGATTTGACGGGCAGACTGCGGCAGGCCCAAAAAAAAAGATATGCACATATAGATACAATAGACGCTTCGACGGTCTTTTTTTTCCCCTTTTTTTTTCCAGCGCGCGCTTGCGTGCACTTTGCGGCGCAACATTCCTATAGGCTCAAGGCGATGCCTTCACCCGCGCGGCGTCCGCGGCGCAGAGGCTGGGAGCTTGGAACTTCATGTTTGGGTCATATATATATGTATATAATTTTTTAAGTGGGATGCTTTCGTCGGCGCGCGCGGGCGACGTTTATATGCGTGGATCCAACGCGGGTGACGCGTGGTTCTATCCGGCGCACGGACCCGTGCAGGAAAGACGTTGGTTCTACGGATCCAACGCGGGTCACGCGTGGTTCTCCGGATGCCACGGACCCATGCCTGACGTTGGTTCTACGGATCCAACGCGGGTCACGTGTGGTTCTACGGATCCCACGGACCCATGCATGAGAGACGTTGGTTCCACGGATCCAACGCGGGTCACGTGTGGTTCTACGGATCCCACGGACCCATGCATGAGAGACGTTGGTTCTACGGATCCAACGCGGGTCACGTTTGGTTCTACGGATCCAACGGGCCCATGCATGAAAGACGTTGGTGCTATACGGATGCAACGCGGGTCACGTTTGGTTCTACGGATCCAACGGACCCATGCATGAAAGACGTTGATGCTACGGATCCAACGCGGGTCACGCGTGGTTCTACGGATCCAACGGACCCATGCATGGAAGACGTATACGGATCCAACGGGGATCTACGGACCCCATATATATATGATATATAGTGTCGTTTAAACGCGTAAGACGCCGCGCGCGCGTGCGCTTTTCTTTTTCCGCTTGGTTGCAGGTGCCATGGCCACCCGCCAGAAGGACGACCGGGAGAAGGAGAAGAAGGACAAGGAACGACGAGGCCGGCGCTCGCGCGGAAGGAGCCGAGACCGAGATCGGCGGCGCAGGCGTTCCAGGACCCGGAGCCGCGCCCCCGCGTCCGCTCCGGACAACGCCGCAGCGCTGGCGCCGAAGGAGGCTGCGGAGCACGAGAGAGACCCGCGCGACC